TGGTTTTCTTGGCAAGGTTTTTCGGAAGTGGTTTGCCATTGCCTCCTTCCTAGGGCTGAGAGAGAAGGACTGGCCCAAGGTCACCCAGCTGGCTTCATGCCTAAGGTGGGACTAGAACTCAGTCTCCCGGTTTCTAGCCTGTTTCCTTAACCACTACACCAAACTGGCTCTTAATATGACTACTGTAGAGTAAATATGCTTTATACCACACCCTGACCTTAATTATTGATCTATAAAGAGTAACCTTTGAAGTCATATGCAGAAACTCTCACAGGTAGTATGATGTAGCTGAACAGCTCACCACATCTCAGGAGTTGCTGCCCAGAATTATTTGAAAATGCCTTCTGGGTTTCTCTTTTGGAAATCCTGTATCATCAGCTACATTCACAACTCTGTACTATTTCAAATGGTTATTATGAAAACAAATAATTACTTGCCCTGAATCTTTGGGATGTGACAAACCATGCTGAAGTTCTTCACTGTAAGACACTGACTCTCTAGGGCAGGGTTTCTCAACCTTGGCAACTTTAAGAGGCGTGGACTTCAACTCCCAGAATTCCCCAGCCAGCCATGCTGGCTGGGGAATTCTGGGAGTTGAAGTCCACGCCTCTTAAAGTTGCCAAGGTTGAGAAACACTGCTCTAGGGCATAAGATTACCTATTGCCTCTGGCGGTGATTAATTGAGCTACCATGATGTCACAGATGGGTGGGGTAGACTACCAGTGGCTGAAGTGCTCAGATTGCAGTAAGATGGGACAGATATGCTTCAGGAAGACAGCAAGCAAGATTGAGTGGAGCAATGTAATGAGGCCATGCAGCTTGGATCAGGGAAGGGTTCAGAGCAAGGATGGAATAAAAGCAAGTGTTTGAGAGGACAGGATTTATGGAGAAAAAATATACAGAGGGGTAGGCGTCATATGTTGGAAGGCAGAGGCATCTGAAATTCTGCATAATCTGGAAATATTACAGGTCTCAGATTAAAATACATGCATTTTGGGGGACAGGTGCTGCTTTTACATGTCTGGAGACAGCCTTCCGCCTTGATGCCCTTCACAGACAAATGAAGCTCCTTGGGGAGGACAATCCTGTTAGCAAACTTCAGGTTAAACTTGAACCAGGTAATAAGGTGGCTGGGTCTTGTCTTTCATAAATCAAGCCAACAGATTTGCCTTCTTGCGCATAAATGCATGCTCTTCCATTTTCTTTGCCCTGGAGCCCCGTGGCGTCTGTAAGAAGCCACCATGAACTCAAATGACAACTTGTGCCTGCTGATAGGCAGATGTCAAGATTATCCTGACATCCCGAGAAGGAATGCAAACAGGCCCTGGGAACTGGGCAGAGGTGAACGTTAAGGAAAAGGAAGAAGTTCAGAACGTTAAGGGCAGAAGAAGAATCCACCAGAAAGAACCCCACTTTGATTTTGTTTAGTGTGAGATGTAGTAGGGAGAAACTCTGGCAGGCTTTCAAGATTCTGTTATTATACCACAATAATAACAACAACATTATTCTTGGAACCCTGCTGGTCCTGCTTCTCAGCCTTGTTGACCTTGAAGGGCTGACCCAGCATCTGACTGTGGTAGGGAAGTCACAGCATTTGCATGACAGCATCATTGCGTGCATATCCCAATTTGATGCCTACACCTGCCCCCTTTCCAGCCGCAGTTCAGGGACACTGTTAGATATGAAGGCCCCTGTCAGCAGGAGGGACTGAATTTCTACTTGTACTCATGTTTAATCAACTAGTGGTAGCTGTAACTAGCTGAAAACTCCACAAATACATGGAAGGACTGGGGCAGGAGGGGAGGACGGGACTTGTAACTGTAAAAAGCAATTAAAATATGCTAAGAAATAATTACTTTATGTTTGGTGTACCGAGTGTGTGTCCTGATTGTGATTTTTTGTTTAAACTCCCCTGTCTGAAATTAGAATATTTGTGAAAATTTGATGAAATTGCAAGATCTGGGCTAAGAGACAGTGGGTTTACTTAGGTTGTAAACATTCGGAGTTAGGCCTGTTTCCTGTATGAATGTGTATCTGTCTGAAAGTGTAAGCATTGCGTGAAGCCACTAAGCTTAAGGTTTAAAGTGTTGTGATTTATAAATATGATTTAAGGCTTAGCATGAGCCCATCCCATTGTGGTTTGTTCAGTATACCCTGGCTTAATGCAACAACAACAACAATAACTTAATACAATAATAAACCAGGATGGTGTATTCCCTTTAAAACTGTAACCCTGTATCCAATTTTCTGGAGCAGTATTTCTCAGCCTCAGCAACTTTAAGATGTGTGGAGGTTGAGAAACACTGCTCTAGAGTAAGTGTCTCTGTATAAGAATCTCAGGCACTTATATGAGTCTTGAATTCACATCCTTCCCCTATATGTGTCTGTCTTTATGACCCCAGAAAGGAGATCTCCAAAATTTGCCTAAGCCACACCACTCTTGCACACAACGAACCGAAGAAATTGCTCCCCAGTTACATGGTGAATCCAGTTAATGGGAGGTGGCCAAGCATGTTTTCTTTTTATAGCCACAGGAATATGGGTGCACCTTTTCTTTCCCTTCTCCTCTGGGTGAATTGTTCAAGGAACTACCAAAATGAAAGTTGCTGTTTGACCACAGCAGGAGGTGAAGAGAGGAAACGATGGCTTGGTTCATCATAGCTTGTGGGATAAACACTGCTTGGCTGGGTTCACAGAACATGCTAAGCCAGAGTCCAGTTTCTGACTCTGAAGCTGATTTGTCAGCTCTTTGATCCCGGGCTTTGCATTTATAGAATATGTACAGTGATAGTTCTAGAAAAGTAAATTCTAAAAAAAGACATAATTTGAAGGGGAAGAAAATGATGCCCCCGAAAATGTATATTGCCATTTTTTTCCTATAACCATATCAGAAGTCCCTCCTTCACTCCTTCCTTTTTTTTTTTTCCAGGTGTGAATCCCAGCAATCTGATGAACCTCTTTACGTACGAGAAAGGGTTCTGCTTTGTTTACTACCTGTCTCAGCTGTGCGGAGAGCCAGCACATTTTGATGCCTTTCTCCGAGTTAGTAACCTGGTTTGGGGGTTGGAGGGGAATGTATTCATGGGTGCCCATGAATACCTAACACACCTTCAACCTTGCCCATGGATTTCAGTTGAATCCTTCAGAAAAACAGATGACCCCACCAAAAAACCAAGGGTGGAGTTTAGATCTCAGTCATTGGTTTGAAAGTAGGATCACTAGTTGGAACATACCAGCAAAGCGTCTTGGTGTGTATTACTCTGGCATAACCTGACTAAAGCTTTTCTGAGAGTAACAAGTAAACAAGTAGTAACATGAGAACACAGGAAGCAAAAGTAAAGACTTCATTAGGTCAAGCTTGGCTGATAGTCACGTCTGTGTAGATTTTTTGGCAGCAACATGGAAATGTTTTGTCATTGCCTCCTTCCTTTTTCCAACTTCCCAATCTAGCATTGGGATTTGACACCTGGTGGTCTCCCATCCAAGAATAAATTAGGTTCAACCCTTCTTAGCTTTTTTTCAAGATCCAATAAGGCCACCTGAGAAAGATTGAGAGGGGTTGCGTGCACATACTATGTATGTGTTTAAAATCCCTTTAGTGTAAGTACTACTCTGATTACTATAGAGACATGGTTCGGTAGCTTTTAAGGCAAAAGTAGGAAAAAGTTTTGCCATTGCGTTCTTCCTGAAAATGCCTTTCTTTTCTCAGCAGTGGCTCCTGGGTCTGTCAGCATTTAGCCAACATAGATTCAGTTTGGTGCAGAATATCTGAAGGTCTCTAGTGCATGTGAATATACCCCTACACCCACTTGCTAAAAACTCTGAAGCATTATTGATTTTATTTCAGAATTTAGCTTCAGTCTCCTAAATTACTGCGCCATCATAAAAAACTGGAGCCCACTGTTGTTTAAAGAAAGATATTATGACGGATGAATGACCTTTGGAAGTTTTCCGGGTGGGGGGGATTTATGTGTCAGAGCATTAGAAGTGCAGCATGGCTATTCTTGGTTTATCTAAACCTTGATCATTTTCTGCTGCTTCCTCTTGGAGAACAAGAGCTCCCTTAATTGTAATATTTTACTTTGTTCCCTAGCATGTTTGCCCCATCTCTGTTGCTTTTCTGATAATGTCCATGCCCTGTCCCCCAGTTTCTGTGACCTGGCTAGACCTTGGTGTTTCTGTGAATTCTGTAACCCATTGTTCGTTTGTTTAATTTATATTTCAACTTCAGTCACCTCCCATCTCACTCAAGGAGTGACTCTGGGCAGTTTACAAGAAAACAAGAATAAATATTAATTAAAATACAATAAAAACAATGTACATAAATACATAACGTATTCCTCTCTTTCAGGCCTATATTGAGAAGTACAAGTTCACAAGCGTTGTAGCCCAAGATCTGTTGGATTCCTTCCTGGCGTTCTTTCCAGAACTGAAAGAACAATGCATTGATTGCAAAGCAGGTGGGAAAGGGGACCTTGACAGAATGTAACACACACACACACGACCTTAGGAGTATTGCCCAGATGTAGGAGACAACTGCTAGCATCCTGTTTCTTCAGTGAATGCGCCACATGGGTCTACTTTTGACTGGGGCAAAGATGGGATAAAGTTCATTCCCACCCAGTTGTTCCCTGTCTTGCAGCCCAAACCCAAAAGAAGAGAAGGGGCCAGGGAAACAGTGAAGCTACAACACACATTTTCCCTGGCTGACATTCAGCTGCTGTTTTTGCACACTTGCACACTAAGGAACTTTTTAGTAGTGCAAAAATTGCATGGTAGATTAGGATAGAGGGTTTTGTAGGCAGGCCACCCTTGTGAATCAGTCAGCTTCAGCTGTAGATGGGATAGGCCTTCTCTACAAATTCGGCCTCAGCTATGAAGGGAGGGACAGTTCTGAGCCTCTTTAGCAGCTGGTACATAGAGCACTTTGATCTCCCAGTAGCCCTTGGCTAACTTAGGTTATTCCAAGGTTATACTCTTGAAAGGGGTCCATAAATTGCCATTGGTGCAAAATGCAGCAGTGAGACTGCAAAGAGATATGAGATACTGAGATAATCATAAAGCTTGTACTGAAAGAGCCATGTTGGTTGCCAGTTGTTTACCAAGTGCGGATAAAGCATTGATTGATTGATTGCCTCCAAGTCAGTGTTGACTCCTGGTGACTGCCTGGACAAGTCCCTGCAGTTTTCTTGGCAAAATTTCAGAGGTGGTTTGCCCTTGCCTCCTTCCTAGGGCTGAGAGGGAGGGACTGGCCCAAGGTCACCCAGCTGGGTTTGTGCCTAAGGCAGGACTTGAACTCACGTCTTCTGGTTACTAGCCCCATTGCCTTAACCACTACACCAAACTGGCTCTCTGGATAAAGCCCTAAACATCTTAAAGTCTGACTGTCTAAGGGATGGCCTCTTCCATTATGAACCTCTCCAGATCAGCAGAAGAGGCCCTCTTACAGATCCAAGCCTGTCTTTCTAGGATGCAGGTTTGGGTCTTCTCCATCATTGCTTCTAAACTATCAAATAGACTCCCTTCAGAATTACCTTTGGCCCCCACTTTCTCAGCATTGAGGAAATGCATAAATATGAGCCCATTTTGCCAGGTTTTTATCTGTTAAATTGTTAGCACTCCTTCCGTGCTAACATTATTTTTAACTTGTATTTTTACCATTGTATCGTCTTTATTTTTAAGTTGCTTTAGCTGGTTGGAGCGCTTGCCACAGCAGAAATGCAGGATGTGAATTACATAGATTAATTGATAGAAAGAAAAGGCACATAGGGTGGTTGTCTTGGGCCTCTGGAGATAATTCAGACGTGTGGTTGTCAAATCTGGGAGCTTTGTGCTATAGTACTGTGATAGACCAAAAGTCCCATTGTGTCCTTGGTCTTGAAGACCATCTCTTGCTGCAGAGCTAGGGAACATTTCTGTCTCTGATGATGATGATTTATATTCATTTATAAAGGTGGTGCACATAATACTCCTGCCTCCTGTTTTCCCCAAAACAGCAGCAACTTTGAGAGAGGGTCTTACCTAAGAAATCCACTGTGAGCCAGAGCAGATAGGGCTGGGCCAGCAGTCAAACCCTGATTGTACTGCACTTATGAAGAGCACTCAGCATTATCTGAACTGTAAATTCATTAAACAGGCTTGGTATACCCAACCAGCTGAGCCTTAAAAAACTAACCCCAAATCAGCTGAGTTGAGTGTGTTACACAAATGTTGCCAGCTGATTTGTTGGTGGAAGCTTTCTGTGCAAACCTGACTGAGAGAACACAGCAGCAGGTACTCGGCACACCTGCAGGATGTTTCCAATTTGATCCTTGTTGGCAAATCTGTTTCAGGACTAGAGTTTGACCGCTGGCTCAGTGCAACAGGACCTCCTTTAATTGAACCAGACTTATCTCAGGGATCCAGCCTGACCCAGCCAGTGGAGACGCTGTTCCATCTCTGGACCATGGAGCCTCTGGATGCCGGAGCTGCTGCTAACAGCGTCGACATCACCGAGTGGCGAACATTCCAAACGGTGCTTTTCCTGGATAGGTTACTGGATGGGTCGCCCCTGCCACACGGTGAGCTTTGTGGTTGGAGATGCAAGGAGACTGACACTTCATTAAAATCCATGCTTTTGCAGTGTCCTAAAGTTGCTTTGTTCTGGGAGGAAGTAAGTAGAGGTAGTCCTCACTTAGCAACCACAATTGGGACCAGCAACTCCATCACTAAGCATCGCGGTTGCTAAGCAAAACATCACATGACTGCGATGGGCTTATGACCTCACTTCTGCGGTGGTCATTAAGTGAATCGCCCATGGTTGTTAAGTAAGACGTCACCTGACCATGACTTGCAGTTTTACTGCTGGCTTCTCTATTGACTCTGCTTGTCAAAAGCTGGCTGTGAAGGTCGCAAATGGTGGGATGCTGTGATGGTCATAAATGCCTGCCAGTTGCGAACCGCCCAATCTTGATCATGTGACCATGTGGACTCTGCAACAGTCATAAATGTAACGACTGGTCATTAAGTTATCTTTCCAGCACTGTTGTAACTTCAAACGGTTGCTAAACAGAACAGTTGTTAAGTGAGATCTACCTATACCTATATTAACTTTTAGATAAAGTTTAATATTTTCATATGTCCAACTGTATAACTCTTTCATTCTTTCATTCATTCATTCAGTCAATTATATAGCTGCCCATCTCTCTATAGTGACTCTAGGTGGCTGAAAAAAAAATTATAACCAAAAGAACAAAACAATTTAAACAATATACAGCAAAACTATAATATAAAACATGGTTATATTAGTTTCTTTTTTCTTTTTTTTCCTCTGATTTATTCATTCTACTTCCTCTTCCCTTCTGTTTTATTAAATAAATAAAGCAAAAATAAAAAAGTGCTCCAGGTAAAATGGAATGGAAGTCAAAGATTGGCTTCACATGACTCATAATGCGCTAATTGGCTTATGTGATTTTACTATTAGTGTGTTGAGTGGTTTATGGCATGTTATGTGTTGGTGTTTTTGCCAAACCTTGGCTCAGCATGATTTGTGAGTCAGGCCTTTGCATAAGATTAAAGGATGCAGCCAGGCAGTAATACTGAATTCTTAGTACAGTGGAACCTTGAGTTACGAATTTAATCCGTTCTGTGACTCTGGTTGCAACTCGA